TGTTATTCTAGACATGCTGCATTATTTTCAGTTTCTTATAGTATTATTTCCATCCTCTCATACCTGAGCAGATGTTCTTCCCCTGTAACTGAAATGTATTTCCTCCTCTTTTCTGGCTAACGCATTTCTGCGCAACTTCCTATTTCAACTTACCTTGCGGCGCTTTCCCAGACCTGACAATAGAGTTGACAGCAACCTTTTCGGCCACTCTCCCTGAGTATTGCACTTATTCCCTATTATACAGCCTCATTCACTGTGCGTTTCCTCTGATAAATCAACAGCTCCTTAAGGAAAGAAACTTCATCTTATTCATCTTTATTTCCTAAGCGCCTGCACTGAGTAGGTGTTCAGTCATGCTCAGATGAATGTATGACCAAAAAAAGGAGGAGAAGCAAATATACCAAAAGGCTAGTTTTGTTGCTTTCATTTCTTACACTGTGAGCATTTTTTGCTCGTATTTCAAAATATTTGTGTGCAGCTGTATTTGTTTTATAATGGAAAATTAAATTTACAATAAAATATTTCTTTGAGCCCGACTCTAATTTTCATTAGCTCTCCTACCCAATTCTCTTAAAACCCTGCACACCTGTGCCAAGCTTATTTACATGGCCAACAGTCTACTCTGCTTAAAATCATGGTTAGATCCCTGTACACAATTAGCTAAATAAATATCATTAGTGCAGCTTCATTAAAGTGTATTTTTCTTAAACATTTCTCAATACACATATTTCTCAGTAAGTAAGCACCTAATAGAATCTTGGCGAGAAAAATCTTATCATGGACTTATTTCTGTAGGTATATACTTCAGGTCTTAACTGAAAGGAATAATAAGACTCGTGCCATCTGGAATAAAATAGTGACAAATACGACAAGACTCAAATTATGTTCATGTGCAAAAAGCCATGTTTCCAAATCACTATAATAATTCCTATCTCCCACCTAGGAGGCACTAAAGAACTGTTTTTTAAAAGGAAAAATATCTAAACAATCCGATAATTCTCCTAAATATAAACCCCACTGAAATTGAACATATTTTATCCTTTTTTAGCTAAGCTATCATTAGCATTATCCAGTATATGCCTGTGGTAACTTTATAGCTAACAGTTTACCCTTTTCCTTTTGCATGATTTAAATATGTTGTTTTGGCCAAGTCACTTTGGGAGGCCGAGGTGAGCAGATCACCTGAGGTCAGGGGTTTGAGACCATCCTGGCTGACATCGTGAAACCCCATCTATACTAAAAATGCAAAAATTAGCTGGGAGCGGTGGCAAGTGCCTGTAACCATGGCTACTCAGGAGGCTGAGATAGGAGAATTGCTTGAACCCAGGAGACAGAGGCTGCAGTGAGCCAAGATCACCCCACTGCACTCCAGCCTGGGCGACAGAGCGAGATGCACTCTATCTCAAAAAAAAAAAAAATTTTTTTTATAACACATTGTTTAAATATGCCCTACGTGAAGCCAGCCATACACACACAGCATATTTATATAGGAATGCAGGTCAAAAGTCTCAAAAAGTGCAAACAAGTCATAGGAATAATATCACCAAACTCAAGTTGAAACTATTTCAGTAGCTTCAGAAACATTTGGACCCTGGCATAATATATTGAATTCAGGCAGAAAATCATTTTCCAGCCAATGGTAGGATGGTGTTAGGTTGGCCCTCTCTACAGACAGGCTCCTTTTTCTCCTTTGTGCAAGGCTTGCTGTTGTGAGTTCATGTCATGGCACCACGTGAGGTCTAAGAGCTTTTTCCTGGATGGGTCCATGCTTCTGCTAGCCTGGTTTGATTGTTTAGAGGAAAACGAGCATCCTTCTTGTGGCATAATCTGTGTGTAAGAACTGAGATGAAGTGTAGTATAGCAGAAAGAATGCGAGCTACGGAGTCCCACAGTCATGGAGAGGAGCTGCTGCACAGGCACTTCAAGGTCTGTGTGACTTTGAAGTAACTGAGCTTCTTTGAACCCTGGTGTTATGGGTTGCATTGCCCCTCCCCCCCAAATTCATATGTTGAAGCCCTAACGCCAGGATCTCAGAATGTGACCTTATTTGGAAATAGGGTCTTTGTGGATTTAATTAGTTACGATGAGGTCATTCTTGTGGGCCCTAATCCAATATAACTGATGTCCTTATAAAAAGGGGAAATTTGGACAGAGAGAGCAATGTGCATAGGGGAAGAATAGTATGAAGAACTACAGAAAGAAGACAACCATCTACAGCCAAAAAGAGGGGCCCAGAACAGGTTCTTCCCCTGAAGCCCTCAGAAGGAACCTACGCCGCTGTTAGGCTTGATTTCTAACTTCTATCCTCTGGAACTATGGGACAATCAATTTTTGTTGTCACCCTGTTTGTGGTGCTTTGCTATGGAAGTCCTAGAAAACTAACACATCCGGTTTCCTCAAATGTCAAATCCTTAATATAAGTTGTGCAGTGCCGTTACAAGGATTAAAAATCACATGGTAAGTACTGGAAAGAAGGCAGGCAATATATTTTATCACGGAGGGGTGCACTATTTGAAGGATTTTATCTCATTTCCGTGAATCTTGCTTCTTTCCCCAGCCAGCCAGCCAAGTGGCTGAACTCTTCACTCATGGCATTAGAAAACTGCTGTCAAGGCAGGGAACACAGGGCACTGGGAGGTGTCAATTAATAAGTTGAGAGGTTCGAAAGCCTAATGCCCCTGGGAAATTGGAATGATTCCCACCCACAGAAAACAGGATCAGAAGAGATCTTCCAACATATAAACTAGGCTAAGGGCAGATGTAGACCCCTCGGAGTGCAAACTAAGGTAGTCAAGGCATGTGTGCACATCAGTGGATCCAGGAGCAAGATGTAAGTGGCTGGTTTCACCGTGTTCCCCGGCCACCCTGATCCCATGTCCCGCTGGCTCGAATTTCCTTAGTGAGAGCAGAGCGACAGATTGAAAGATTCAACTGAGGCACTTTCCTGAAACAGGTATGAAATTTCAATGAAAATGGCCAGTGTAAAATCCAGATTTTAAAAGAAACTGGGAACTATGAATGGCTCTAAAACACAATAGGAAGTTATAACGCATCAACAGAAGGAAGATGAGGGGAAGAGGCTTTAAGAGGCTATTGGATAGAGCAGTTTCTGATGCCAAGTCCCTCCTTCCCCTGAGAGAGGGATAGAAAGGGCTACCTTTTCCACAGGTCTTCAGAGAGGCTTCAGAGGAAAGCTTCAGAGGGCTTGGATGTATACCCTGGAGTCTGGGAGACCCAATGGACTGCAGGCTGGTTCCCACTCTGAAAATCTAGAGGATAAGAGCTGGGCTAGGGGCAGCTCTACCATCTGAGAAGTGCCCACAGCCTCTCCCACCAATGAGGCTTCATAAGACGCATGTTTTCCTAGAGCAAGTGTGGGCCAGTTGTGAGAGAGTCCACCTAAAGCCCAAGAGGACCACCGGAGGTATTCATGAGATGCCACATCAGAGTTCAGAGGAAACAGACTACCTGGAGCCAGGCACTGAGTGGGGAGGAGGCTGCTGAAGGAGAAGCCCTGCCCAAGTCACAGGAACTAAAGCTGGGTGGGTCCATCAGAGCGGCCATGAAAGTCTCCCAAAAGTGACCAACTGAGAGCCAGTGTTAAGCAGATTCCTGTCCCAGAAAACGCAAATCCAGATTAACGTAATAAAATCCCTGAGCTATTTTTCCCCTCTTCTTTCCCCTGTCCCAACCCCTGAGAGTTCAGCAATAGCAATTAGGATGTGGGATAGGAGGTGATGAGTGAAGAGAGAAAAAAAATGACCTTTTCCCACTGCAAGTGTCCAACTCAAAAATGGGCCCCAGATGGGGGAGGGCAGATCACTTGATATTAAATTAACTTTGAAGTTATGATTATGGTTTGATATTGGACATAATCACTTCTCAATGGAGATTTTTTTTTAAGTTGCAATGTCCAGAGCAATTTTTTTTTTTATAAATCTAAGTGCAAACTTATAAAGTATGGAGCCAGCCTGAGACCTAAATTTCACCCGAAACAAGGGAATACCTGCCACCTTTCTCCAATGCATTTCAAAGAAGCAGAAGGAGATGAAAAATAAATTGTTTTGATTGATTTCCCAAGAGGTGCTTGTTCAAAATACAATTAAGAAAAGAAACCCCAAATGTGTTGGGAGAAGACATGGGTGATGGGCAAAATATTTTCTTTCCCAGGTATAGTCTGAACTTCAGAAACAGCTCGGTGGCACCTCCAGGAAGATGGACTTGAGTGGCTTTGCAAAGGATCTCATGTCATAGCATGACACAAGAGCCACTGAACAAGAGTGGCAATGCAAAAAAAAAAAAAATTCGGGCACAGTAGCTCATGCCTGTTATCCCAGCACTCTGAGAGGCTGAGACAGGTGGATCACCTGAGGTCAGGAATTCAAGAGCAGCCTGGCCAACATGGTGAAATCCCATCTCTACTAAAAATACAAAAATTAGCCAGGCATGGTGGCAAATGCCTGGAATCCCAGCTACTTGGGAGGCTATGGCAGGAGAATCGCTTGAACCTGGGAAACAGAGGTTGCAGTGAGCCGAGATCTCGCCACTGCACTCCACCCTGGGCAACAGAGCGAGACTCTATGTCAAAAAAAAAAAAAAAAAAAAAAAAAGGAGGGGGGTCAGGAAGCTTTTTAATCCCAAACAGTTTCCTCTGGCCCAGCAGCAGTGATAGCATGCCCTTATATGCCTAAGAGCTATCTAGAAGAAACTAAGAGAAGGAGAACAGGAGACCCTCGATGATAGACCGAGGTGTGCCTTGGCAGTAGTCCACAGTACTGACCAGAGACGGTAAGACAAACATGACTAATGGAGAGATGACAGCTAAGGAACTGGAATCCACTTCTCAAGAACCTGGCATCTCATAACCTCATCCAGAATGTCAGGGCAACCTCAGGCTGCTATCATGGTTAAACAGAGGGTCCGAATGGCATTTAATTTCAGGTTAGCTATGGGAGAATAAAGTAAGTTACATTTCTCACACTCACAGACAAGAGACCCACCTGCCGCATTTGGGGAGGCTTGTCCAAGACTTCTGAGGATCCTCCTGAAGTGTGTCTCTACACCTTGGACCGTTTAAAAAGCCTAGAAGAGAATTAAAGGCCAGTCATTTACAGGTAGATTCATGGTGTGTGGAGGTGGGGCTGACTGAAGTCTTAGCTGTTTTGAGAAATATCACTGGATTGCAATAAGCTGAGAGTAACAGAATATAGTATATTTACTACTGAAGAAGACTTAAAATCTTAAAATTCCAACCAGACAGGTATGGAGTGATCAGCAGAAAAAATGAAAATAGAGTGAATTAGCATGTTTCATTTACTTTTGAAATAAAACACTCCAAATCCCAGAACAACGTATAGAAAAGAGGACATGGAGTAGGGAATTTTGAGGTTTCTATCCAAGACCTGGAATTTTTTAAAGCATCAAATCTGTTTCTGATGAAGGAAGAAAAATAAACCCAGGTCAGGAAATCAACTGTGACAAGAATACTGCAGACAGATTGTTCAAGGAGAAAGTTTTCCAATAAGGTGACGTTTGAGCAGAGATCAGGATGAAACGAATAAGCAAGCCAGAGGAAGGCATGTTCCAGACGAGGAGGTGGCAAGTGCAAAGGCCCTGTGGAGAGAGCTTTTGAAGCACGTCCAGACACAGCAAAAAAGCTTCTGTGGCTGCCGTATGATTATCTGAGAGCAGAAAGCGGGGAAATGAAGCCTTCCCATGGTAAGTGCCAAAAGACGCTTTCATATTTCAATCTAAAAGCCTTTAGAGGAAATTTTACGTGTTTTTAATTAAACACTTTAGTTCAAAATAATTGTAGTTACAGAAAAACAATATACACCGGGCGCGGAGACTCACGCCTATAATCCCAGCACTTTGGGAGGCCCAGCTGGGTGGATCACAAGGTCAGGAGTTTGAGACCAGCTTGGCCAACATGTTGAAACCCCATCTCTACCAAAAATACAAAAATTAGCCAGGCATGGTGGCACATGTCTGTAATCCCAGCTACTCGGGAGGCTGAAGCAGGAGAATCGCTGGAACTCGGGAGGCAGAGGTTGCAGTGAGCCAGAGATCCCACCACTGCACACTCCAGCCTGGGTGACAGAGCAAGACTCCGTCTCAAAACAACAACAACAACAACAAACCACACAAACAAAAAAACCCACAATTCAGAGAGATCGTGTGTAACCTTTACCCAGTTTCCTTCATTGGTAACAGTTTGCAAGCCTATACTACATTATCACAGCCAGGATATTGACACTGACAGAGTCAAGACACAGAATATTTCCATCACCACAAAAATCCCTCATGTTGCCTTTTTATAGCCACACTTGTTTCCACTTCAGCCACCCATTCCTTAACCCCTGGAAACCACTGATCTATTTACAGTTTCTACAATTTCGTCACTTCAGAAGTATTACATAAATGAAACCATACACTCAACAGAACTTTCTAAACATTCATCCAGGTTCATGTGTTTATCAATAGTTTACTTTTGTTGCTGAATAGAGTTCTATAGTATGGATTGCTTAATCATCTATTGAAGGACACCGAGCTGTTTCAATAAATGAAATTAGCTCACAACAGTCAGAATGAGGATTAAAAAGTCAGGACACAACAGATGCTGGCGAAGCTGTGGAGAAATAGGAATGCTTTTACTCTGTTGGTGAGAATGTAAATTCTCAATTCAGTCATTTGGAAGACAGTATGGTGATTCCTCGAGGATCTAGAACCAGAAATACCATTTGACCCAGCAATCCCATTATTGGGTACATACTCAAAAAAATAATAAATCATTCTACTATAAAGACACATGTACATGAATGTTTATTCCAACACTATTTACAATAGCAAACACTTGGAACCAACCCAAATGCCCAACAATGATCGACTGGATGAAGAAAAGGTAGTATATATACATCATGGAATACTGTGCAGCCATAAAAAGGAATGAGGCCATGTCCTTTGCAGGGGCGTAAGCAACTGGAAGCCATCGTCCTCAGCAAACTAACAAGGGAACAGAAAACTGTATGTTCTCATAACTGGGAGTTGAACATTGAGAACACATGGACATAGAGAGGGGAACAACACACACCAAGGTCTGTTGGGGGGTGGGGGGTGAAGGGAGTGACCTTAGAGAATGGGTCAATACAAGCAGCAAGCCTCCATGGCACATGTATACACGTATGTAACAAACCTGCATGTTCTGCACGTTTCCCTTTTTTTTTTTTTTTCAGAATAATTTTTTTTTTAAGTTTGAGATTATGAATAAAGCTGCCATAAACATTTGTATACAGGTTTTTGTGTGAACATGTTTTCTTTTGAGATAAATGTCCAGGAATGCAATGCTAGGTTATATATGGCAGATGAATGTTTTTTTCCCCCAAAATCTACCAAACTGTTTTTGCAGAATTTTACATCCCCACCAGCAATGTCTGAATGAACCAGTTTCTGCACATCCTTGTCAGCATTTGATACTGTCACTTTTTTATTTTAGTCTTTCTGCATATATCCTCTCCCAAGAAATGTTTATTCCAGTACTTTGTCCATTTCCTAATTGTTTGTTTTGTTTTTTTACTGTAGAGCTTTGAGAGTTTATATTCTTGACACTAGGAACATGTCAGATACACAGTTTGAAAACACTTTTATTTCAATCTGTAACTTGTCTGTTCATCCTGTCAATAGCATCTTTCACACAGCAATTTCGTTTTAAACAGGGTCTCACTCTGCTGCCCAGGTTGGATGCAGTGGTGCAGTCAAGGCTCACTGCAGCCTCAACCTCCTAGACTCAGGTGATTTTCCCACCTCAGCCACCCAAGTAGCTGGGACTACAGCCACATGCTACCATGTCTGGCCACTTTTTTGTATTTGTAGAGAAGGAGATTTCCCATGTTGACCAGGCTGGTCTCCAGCTCCTGAGTTCAACTGACCCGCCTGCCTCAACCTCCCAACATTCTGGGACTGCAGGTGTGCGCCACAGTACCTGGCCTGAAATAGCAAAATTCTCAATTTTGACGAAGTCCAGTTTATGAACTTTGCTCCAGCTTTTGGCATAAAGTCTAAAAATGTATAACCTAGCCCTGGACCCTGAAGATTTTCTTTTTGCCTCTAGAAGTAGTATAGTTTTGAGTGTTAAATTTAAGTCCGTGGTCTATTTTGAGTTAGTTTTTGTATAAGTTATGAGACTTAGTCAAGGTTCATTTTTTTTCTTTTGCCTATGAATATCCAAATTACTCCAAGAATGAACTGTTGAAAGGCTATGTTTTTTATACTGAATTGCTTTTGCACTTTCATCAAAAATTAGTCTGATATGTTGTGAGTCAATTTCTGGCTTCTCTGTTTTGTTCCTCTATTGATATAAGGGTCTATCCCTCTGCAAATATCACAGAGTGTTGATTACAACAGTTATATAATAAATTTTGGAGCTGGGTAGATTATTCCCACTTTATTCTTCTATTTCAGAGTTCTTTTAGCTATTCTAATTGCTTTTTCAGCTGAAAATTAAATTCAATATAAATTTTTCTTCTGTTTATCTACATAAAATCTTGAGATTTTGATAGTAATTGTGTTAAGCCTGTGAGTCAGTTTGAGGAGAACTGCCATCTTTCCCATGTTGACTGTTCCAGTCCATGAACATGATATAGCTATTTATTTAGATCTTCCTTGCAGCATACACATCCTTTAATACGTTTTGTTAGATTTATACTTAGGTATTTCATTTTCTGAGTGACTGTAAACAGTACTGCATTTTAAAATTTGATGTTCAGCCATCCATTGCTAGTATGAATATATGCAAATATAATTGACTTTTGTATCTTTATCATATGTGCTGCTACCTTGCTAACCCCACATTAGTTTTGGTATTTTTTTTTATAGGTTCCTTGAGATTTTCCATATAACCAATGATATCAAATGAAAAACAGGGACAGTTTTATTTTGTGCTTTATAATCTACATGCTTTTAATGATCATTTTTGCCTTTCTGCCCTGGCAAGAAATTCTAGCACTACCTTAAAGAAGGATCATGAGTATACATGCCTTTATCTTGTTTCTGATCAAGCTGAGAAAGTTTTCTATTCCAATTTTTCTGAGAGTTTTCCTCATAAATGGCTGTGGAATTTTGTCAGTGCACTTTTTGCATGAATTGATAGCACTGTGTGATGTTTCTTCTTTAGCTTGTTAACATGCTGAATTGCAATGATGGTTTCTCATATAGTGAACCAGCTTTCAAATTTTTAAAATAAACTCCTCTTTAGTCATGATGTATATATGAGTTGTTTTACATATTGCTGAATTCTGTTTGCTAATATTTTGTTAATAATTTTTGTACCTGTATATATGGGGGATAATTGGTCTCTTTTTTTTGTACTCTGTTTTAGTATCTGGGTAATACTACTTTCATAAAATGAATGGTTTTCTAGGAAAGATTGTTTAAGACTGTTTTCAATCCCTCTTTAAATATTTGGTAGAATTTTCTAGTAAAGCCATCTGAAGATTACTTTTTGAAGGTTTGTTAAGTTACAGATTAATTCCCTTAACTGTTGTTAAGACTATTAAAATTACCTAATTATGGGTGAGTTGCAGCCGTCTGTGTTTTTTGAGAACTGGGTCCATTTCATTTAAGTTGTGAATTTATGCATGTAGAGTTGTTTGTAGTATTCCTAATTTATCCTTTTGGTGTCTGTAGAGTCTGTAGTGATATACCTCTTGTCATTACCGGTATCAATAATTTGTAGTTTTTCCTCTTTTTCATTGTTAGTCTTACTAGAGGTTCGTCCATTTTTGTTGATCTTTGAAAGTAACCTGATTTTTTTTTTTTTATGGATTGTTTTTCTGTTTTCAATTTTATTGACTTTTGTTCTTAATACTATTTCCTCCCTTCTGCTTGCTTTGGATATTTTCAACTCTTTGGCTTTAGGTTCTTGAACTGTAAATTTAGATTACTGATTTGAGACTTTTCCTCTTTTCTAATATATACACATGGTATGCCATAAACTTCCCTCTCAGAATTACTTCAGCTGTGATCCACAAATGTTTACATGTTGTATTTTTACTGTCATTCAGTTCAATGTATTTTTTATGTCCATT